AAACGTGACGCGGGAAGGTAATGTGTGTGTAGACAGTGAGTAATTGAACTGCAGTCAGAAGTATTGTTGACGTTCGTTGATTAGTGTTGTTTTAGCGCGAGTATTGAGATTAAGTGTATCGCAGAGTTATATTCGGAAATAATAAACCTGTTTTATTAAGTAAAGACTTGTGTCGTTAAAGTTTCGTTGGAACGAAGTTACGGAAAAATCAATTAACAAACGGAGACGTAACAATAGCTATATATATATTAAGGACTAAATTTACGTAATATATTTTGTTCTCCAAAGATATTTTCCTAGCTTATACTTTTCGTAGTATCTTAAAAAGAAAAAAAAACTATTTTCTTCTAACGTCTAAATACCAACTCCACTAACTCGTATACTAGATAGCGAAAACACGTGTATTACAGCACAATGAAATAGTTTGTTTAATATAAAAATGACATTCACGTTGCAAAAACAAACAAAATTATTTAAAGGTTTAATTATACGAAGACTAGAAAACGACTTATCTTTGAGTTACAATTTTTTAACTAGCCTATAAGTTAAGATACAAGTTAACTCTTTCTGAGTATGAAATGAATGTGTGTGATTATTTGTTTAAATGCAAAACCATAGAATGAACTCTGTCCACCGCGGAGAATAGAACCTCAGACTTCAGCGTTGTATGTCTGTAACTTACCGATGGGGACATGAAGTGAAAATCATTTCTCATGTTTCTATTGCATAAACAAAACTGATAAATGAACGCTATAACGCCAACACATTTTACTTTGGAGGATAGCATTCTTTTATTACGTAGGTGAATGATATAGTTTCCTGTTTAAAAAAGAAAATAACAACTAAAACGTAAATGATAAATTAAAAACCTTAGATTAGCTTATGGTATTGTAATTTTGTCACCGGAGAATATTTTATCTTATTCTCTCCCGGTAATTAACTTTTAGTGTACTTTTAATGGCCAGGTGGTTAGGGCACTTGACTCACAATCTGAGGGTCGCGAGTTTGAATCCTCGTCCCACAACACATGCTTGCCCTTTCAGCCGTGGGGTCGTCATAAGGTGACGGTGAATCCACTATTCGTTGGTATAAGAGTATCCCAAGAGTTGGCGGTGGGTGGTGATGACTAGGTGCCTTCCCTCTAGTCTTTCACTGCTAAATTAGGGACGGCTAGCGCAGATAACCCTCGTGAAGTTTTGCGCGAAATAAAAAACAACAACAAATATTAGTAGTTGTATACCATAACCGTAAGCCCAGATCATTGTTTATGTGTCCATTTTTGGTTATATTAAAAGCACATAACCGAATGTACATGTATATGCTGCTTCTCTTTTATAACGTCATCAGATGTACCATTTTCAAATCATCTAACAGTTTCATATTAAATCTTCCCACCCAACCACACGTTTTTGTACATCAATAACATATGGTATTAGTTTACGCAGGTACACCATAGCAAACATTGAAGTGGACAGGATATTCTTATAGATAAGTGGTTCTCAAAGCGTGGTCTTTTCACCACTGGTGGCCCACGAGGGGTCTCCAGGTGATCCGCAGGTTGGTCCAGTGACGCGCAACGCTACGGCCGAAGTCACACGAGAGAACAGGCAGGGCTAGGACCCTCATCAAGCGAAAGCGGGTGGGTAGGACCGGTAGGTGGTGCGCGGGGTCTTTTCCCCCGCTGAAGTGCTGAGCAGACGACTTCGTTTGAGAACCATTATTATAGACCTTCATACCGGCTTCTTATCTTGCATGTTCTGAAAAATAGTAATGAAAGTATTATCATTGAAACACCAGCAGTTTTAGTCTTTTCTATACTTTTACTCGTAGGTGTGATGTCAGAAAGTGAGAGATTGAAACAGACACTTTTGAAACGGGGAGAACTCTTCGAAGACCCCGAGTTCCCAGCAGTCCAATCTTCAATTTTTTATCACCAGGCTCCTCCTTTGCAGTTTGTATGGAAAAGGCCTAAGGTTCGTATTTTCGTGATATCAGTTGTTTTGTGACACTTTGAACAAATTGTCATGTCGAAGTAAAAGTAAAAAATGAGGCTTCCCTGACTTTTTTTATTTCAACGTTTTTTTGTACAGCATTTTAATAGTTTAACTTTTGAAGTGAAAAATAGAAAAAATAGGAATAACACAATTTTCAAAGGATTAGAACTAAAGATGTCAAAGAATCAGCTGATGTGCTTTGTCAACTATAAATAAAGAAAAAAAAATTAACAAATAACATTAAGCTTCTCTTATTAATAAAATATAATAAATATTCCAGAATTAACGGCTAGAGACTGAAATCAAGACATGAATGTAAAACTTGTAAGAAAATGTATTTTTTTTGTGGTTCGAATTTAAGGACACTTTAAATAATCAAATAATTGATTATTCGATTGTAGAATTATCGGATAAAACCAACAACAGGTGATAGCATTGAAAAACTTGTATGTGAATTATTTCAACGACAAAATTTATTTCATTTATCACTGTACACTGCATTTGCTTTTCAAGAAGGTTTGTTTGTTTGTTTGTAATTGTACAAAAAGCTACACAGTAGGCTATCTGTGCTCTTCTCACCACGGGTATCAAAACCCAATTTCTAGGGTTGTAAGTCCGCAGACATACCACTGTGCCACTGGGGGGGGGGGCATAAGTTTAATAAAGTATAAGCTCATATTTTGACGATGTATATATACAAGAAGGGTATTAATGTTTTCCCTTTCGTATTTTTACGAAAAATATAAATTAGAAACAAAAATTTGAATTCAAAATATTCATTTATATTCCATAAAATTTCAGATATTGCGTTTAATTTGAACATTGCTTGAACTGCGATAATTTGCTTTAATTTTGCAAAATCTTTAGAAATATTTATGCATTAAAATCCAAACTTTCCAAAGTAAAAGACGACTTACGCAGAAGCCGATATTTCACGTATTTATTTATTTCGTTATAAAGTGGAAGACAGACGTTCAGTAAAAGTCATTCTGGAAATTATCTCTAATATTGCACAAGCCACAGGTTTTAATTATGGATGTTTTAGGAGAAAAATATGCATAATGGGCTATCTACGCTTTGCCAAGTGCAATAATTAAACTTCGAGTTTCAGCGTAATAAACTCTAAGCTTATCACTGAGCCATTCGGAAAGGCATATGTTTATCACAAAGCATTAGTTTGGTTTGAATTTTGCGCAAAGCTACACGAAAGCTATCTACGCTAGCCGTCCCCAATTTAGCAGTGAAGGACAAGAGGGAGGGCAGCTAGTCATCACCGCCCACCGCCAACTCTTGGACTACGCGTTTACCAACAAATAGTGGGATTGACCGTACATTATAACGCCCGCACGGCTGAAAGAGCGAGCATGTTTGGTGGGACGTGGATTCGAACCCGCGACCCTCAGATTGCGAGTCAAGTGCCCCTTAACCACCTGAGCAGTTTATGAGTGACGTGATTAAGTAATTTTCACGTGTTCCTTTAATTATAACCAACACTATGTGGTATTTAAATATGAAGGGAAACTATGTATATGCTTAGTGGTTAGGGCGCTCGAATAGCAATCCGCAGGTGTGATAATCAGAGATGTAGTGCTAAATTTTATAGTGCCGAAGCCCTGGCAAAATTTGTCAGACGTGTGGTGTCCTCATAAGAGTAAAGTTCTCATATTCAAAACCCAATTTCCATTTCTTTGAACCCATTTTAAATGAGGGTATATATGCAGTACTAATTATTTGAGACTACTCGCATTAGCACTAATTTGAATACACACATATATTACGGAGAGAAAACTTGTCCCCCTTTAAATTAGGCAGTAATTTAACCCTCTCTCAGAAAAATAGTGACATATAAAATTACTAACATTAAAACACGTTTTAAAAAACTTAAAAACGCATATCTTGCTAACCTACCACATTTATAACTGCACTACAGCATTAACAATTTATATATATAATATATATATAATGCTTTATAATGTTTTATAATGCTTTGCATACCTCCTGTTCTGCCAACACGAACAACGAAAAAAAGCGACCTATTATGTAAATAATAAGCATGTTAAAAATGTGAACATTTCAATCACTCAGTATAATTGTAAAATGTATTTTATTAAGTGTTTTAATACCATTTTCGTGTGTTGTAATACCAATGTGACTCACGAAAAACTATTTCGATACCGGTGGTGGGAGAGCACAGATAGGCCTTTGTGTAGCTTTGTGCTTAATAACTAAACAACAACAACTGATATCTACTCTTGAGAAGGAGCAGCTACACGGTGCCTGATTTCAGCTCTTGAGGGAGAGTAACAGAGTTTGTGCTGAGCAGTCTGAAAGAACTCTGTCAGTGGACACGAAGGATCATAAACAGCTAGAATGTTCTCTGATACTCTGAGAGTTTGGTTATGAAATACACTTAATTTCGGGTGTAAACTAAATAATCTATTTTTATATACATATTTATAGTTTTTGAAGGGTTGGGAGTCAGCTCCAGTTTTAGGTGCCGAAGAGCCGCTCCGGCAGCATTACACCTCTCGTTATAATGTGACGTCAATTTATTGGTAGAGAGCATCCCAACAGTTGGTAGTGGGTGGTGTTGACTAGCTGCCTTCCCTCTAGCCCATAATTTCAAAATTAGGAACGACAAAACAACAACAACAACAAACAAGCTATGGATGTTTCTTCTTGGCTACATAAGTTTTTGCTTTACAATGTAGAACAGTACTTCCACTTGATGTGACTTACACAAAGATTATCATTAGTAATCGCACAAAGCCATAACTTCGCTATGCAGTTTTAACTACACTCAGAAATATTATTTACCACTTACCTTTATTACTTAGAATAGAAGTAACCGCGTGGATAGAAACCAAGATAATTGACACTTTGATATAAGAGATAATTCACATAATTCAATTACAGCATTTCGTATATTATCCAGTCCGTAATTCCCATCAAGATATCATTATGAGCCATTACTTCTTATTTATTGAACGTGTGATCAGTTAAGCGGTTCCATGAAAATAGGATTTGGACCTGTAATATCATAAAAATTTGCTAAAATTGCAACTGTTCTCCATGGAATTTGTTGCTTTCGATTTAGTATAATGTGAACTTTCTTCAGAAAATCTTCTAGAGCCAGATCACTAAGCTTTAATATTAGATATCCCTTGCAACCCATGAGAAATCTTGATCTTGATAGTTACAGAGAAACTAAAAGGCCATTTAACTTGTACTTTGAAGGAACTGGGCGTGGCTTAGAAATCTGTACTTGACTCATGTTATATTGCAACAAACTAAATTATGCTGGACAGACTCTATCTTTTGAATTTAGTTAACCAAAAAAAACTAAGCAAATAAAACCACTACACTACGTCACACACATATACATACACACACACAAAACAAAAAACAACAACTATACATTTACAGAAGCTGACATTTGAAGACTAGTTTTGAATAATAATTGTCATGCTTGTTTTGTCAAGCAGGTGTTCATTAACTTTACATTTGAAGGTTATGTGCAGCGCCACCTACAAGAATGTATCGAAAAATACTATTTTAAGATTTTTACTGAAAATTTTCTATTAATTAAGAAATTAGAATATATTTTCTTTGTGGCTTTTTCAAACACATGTAACGTTCCTGAACAACGATTATGTAATTAAAAGTGACTTAGACATGTATTATTACTTATCAAATTTAAACATTATTATTATGTTAAGCTGTACCATTTACAAACTCACTGCTACATTGGCTAAGTTTTTACATACGCAGACATATATATATATATATATATACTTTTTTATTCTGAAAAAGGCTTGAGGCGAATTCAGGTGAAGTTTTGACTAATGTCAGCTGTCATGTACCAAGCTAACTAACTAAATAAATAAATCAACTAGATTGACGGTAGAGGTGTTGTTTCTCTGCTACAGTATGGGATAAATACCAAAGTAGATGATATATAGGAAGGCTAATCATTCAGTTACATGTATTATACACAATTCTCTTCTGAATCTATTGTGTAACAAGGTGATATACTATTGTAACGTGTATTCTTTGCCCTCTGTTTATACTACTGTATTGTCTACATATGTGTATTTGTGAGTACTTGTCTTTAGGATTGGTGTATACTTTAGGCATAAAATTGTCATTCATTGCATGAATAGATATGTGTCGTGATGTCATAATCCTTAATGGCGGGCTTTACTTCGAACGTGAAGATTGTTATCTGGTAGAATTCCTATTGAAGTTGGTCTTTTGCTTTTTTACTTGGCTTACTAAGTGTCTTTGTTCAAATAATTACATGTGATTAGTGATATTTTCAAGTGAAAGGAACAATAAGAACAAGCTTTTTATACAAAGTTCCTCAAGGCACAATAGTTTCACTCGGAGGAAGTGCCGATGTTAGCCTCTTTTTCATTTCTAAATTGCCCCCTAGTGGCACATCTATGATGTCAACTGCTACTACAGTACTCTTAGTACGCAACATTTCTTGTTGATTTAACAGAAGTAACCACTTTTTTTCATTGTTGATTCAACAGAAATGACCAATTTTTTTCATTGTTGATTTAACAGAAATGGTCATTTTTTTATTTTAGTTTATTCTAACAAAACTCATCCACATACCTATAAGCTCTGTAAATGTCAAAAAATTTTATTCCAGAAAATTTTACCGGTAACTTAAAACCTCAAAGTCTGTATAGTATAATAACATCTTGTATGTTTTAGAATTTAGACAGATGATTATGCAGTGCGTGTTCAAAAATCCGATTTCAAATAAACTATTTTACTATTCGTCTCAGAAGAGAATGTTCAGTAAATTGAATTATAAACGGATTTATTTGTTAACCGTATCAAAAGTGAATGTTCAACTGATTAACATATAAACCAGTTTATAAATAAACTATTTTAAATAGACCGGTCTATTACCTGCTCCAGAAGTGAGTGTTCAATTGGTTAATATATAAACCAGTTTATAAACA